CATGTAATTTTTTTTTCTTGAGTGCTTAACATTGCTGATAAAAAAAAAATCCATTGGTTTTTAAATAGGCTGTGAACTTGAAAGAATATGGAGGACAGGAAATAAAATCCACAGGAATTTTTATTTTGCACCATCAATATTCAGACTATATGACAGGGTTTGGTGATGTCTCCTACATGACATTTCTCTGAATAAGGTTTTGAGGACTGGGCACAAAAAGTGGCAGACCTGATGTTTAAGGCTTTTAGCGGTATGCCACAATGATTTTTGTGACATTGTCATGTAACTGGAGTTGTCCTCCTCTTAGGGCTTCATCAGGATCCCCTGAGGAGGTTGTGGTATTGCTGAAGGCTCAGCCTCAGATGCCCAGGGTTGGACTGTCTGAGGGTGGGGGTGGACTTCTCCAGGATTCTGACACAGGTGGCCAGGGAAATTCATTCACCCCAACACTGGCCTAAACCAACAGTCATTTGCCACAGTCATCATGTGCATTACCCTATTCCCTCTTCAGAAACAACCTTGGCTAGTAGAGCGTTCTCATCTTCTAGGTGAAGAGCTGGAAGTGTGGGCTGGGGAAATCACTCACTAAGGTCTCCTAGGTGGCTCAGTGAGACCAGGGCCAAGACAGCTTCCAAGCAAGTCCCTTTGTCTTTCTATGTCATTGAGGTCCTTCCTTCCCACTCTATTCAGCACTGTTTTCTGCTGGACCTTGGACTTTGCTCTAGAGTGGCTGCTATTATCAAGAAAAGAGGGGGCTGGGGTTGTGGCTCAGAGGTAGAGCGCTTGCCTGGCATGTGTGAGGCACTGGGTTCAAACCTCAGCACCACATAAGAGTAAAATAAAGATACTGTGTCTACCTACAACTAAAAAATAAATATTAAAAAAAAAGAAAATAGCAAGCATTTTTGTAACTGTGAGTTACAAATGCATAAATCGCAGGCACCGTCCTGACTTTCAAAATATTTGCTCATCAGTTGTGTCCTAGATGCTTAAGTGGTCGCCCCCTTTGCTATACTCACCACCCTTCCCACATAGTCCCTTTTATCCAAATTGCTTGTGTTCCAGAAGTGGATTCCTGAGTCTGGAGCTGGCTCATGTCCATAAGCCCTGGGGAAAATCCTCACGTGTGATTGCACGCGTGGGTCTTGGGTCTGTGGGCAGTTTTTCTGACATATTATCCAGATGAATGTTCATTCATTCAGAATATTTGGGTGCCTGCTCTGTGCTAGATCACTTTCTAGGTGTCCAGAGAGAGGGATGAACCCCACTGATAGAGCACCTGCCCATGCAGGTCTGACTTTCTGGTAGAGGAAATCCCTGATACACAAGGACACCAAGTACCCTGAATGCAGATGGGTGTGAATCCCTGTTCTCTCACTCTCTGCGCTTGGGGCTGTCTCTCATTTAATCTCATTGAGATCGGGTCGTCTTCATTTTTTTTTTCTCTCCAGTGCCTAGCACAGTGCTGAGCTACTTCTGGGGCTTCCGATGTCTAAGCCTGGTTACTGTCGTATAGATGGAATGGCAAACCCTGCCAACCTCAGGTGCTCATGGTCATCCTTCCACTCCCATCTCAGTTGTCACCTCCTCCTGCTCTGAGCCATCAGAATTGAGCACATGCTCATTGCAGTATCCATTGCACCTGTCACCCTTGCTGGGCTCTGAACATCTTAAGGAACACCTCTGTGAGTCTTTGCCTGTGTTTCCCCAGGACCCAGCAGGGAGCCTTGAGAAAGGAGAGCTCAATAATTTGCCCAAAGATTACATGTACAGTCCCTGGAACCTAGAGATGAGCAGTGGTATGGCAGGAAATGCTTTATGAGGAGGGAGGATGAGTGGGACCGAGAATCTCTATCCCAGTATTTGGGTGATTCTTTGAGTTCGGCACAAGGGCTGTCACAAGTAGAGGAGATGGGCTAGGATGTAGGCAGACAGAAGGGAGATGGCATGGAACATTCTAGCATGTCGTTGCTAAGTAAGTCAGAAATTTTGAAGTTCTGAGGTGGGAGCTCTAAGGATGCTGGTTTGCATAGCTTATGTCCATCTGAGGTCTGGGGAAGCTGCAGCTTGACCTGGTTTTGACAGCTAGTTAGTTGCAGACCAGACCTGGAGGTGGAGATATATTAAATATTAAAAATTATGCTGGGACTGTGGTTTGTGACAGATCAAGGGAAAAAAGGCACAAAGAGGTGAAGTAATGTAGTCCAGATCACACAGCTAGTGAGCAAGGAGGCCAGGGGTCAGATCCAATGACAGAGGCCAACTTGTAACCACTAAGGTGTATCTTCTCGAAGTTTGTACCACGCATGGTCTGAGCACATTTTCAATTTTCCTCTTTTGTTAGCTGTGAGTCATTATAGGAAATTAATATGATTAACATGTGTTCTTTCTATTTTTTCTATTATTATGTGTTTCCAGAAAAATTATTACATTCTTTGAATAGTGTAATGAAAGTCCCTGGATTATCAACTGTGAGTATACAAGTGTAATATACATACAGAAAATGGAGAAGGTCTTTTTTTTTTACTACATTAAATTTAAAACATTCCTACTTATTTCTGCTGCACTTTATTTAAAAGAAATATTTTACAGCATATTGTAATGAATGAAAACCTGATTCTCTAATTTTAGGAGCCTCAGCGTTACAGCCAGTGAATGGAATTCTAAAATTCTTACCTACATAGGTTTCACGTCCACTTCTCTCCATTTGTTGACATATGGACTAGAAGGTAGCTATATTCCTATTTTAGAAAAGATTCTTTCTAGACACAGAAGAATTAAGCAGCTTGTCTGAGTTTCAAAACAAGTTGATAGAGAAACCAAAAATAGAATCTTTTCTAGTGAATACTAGATTCACTAAATTTCCTAACATAGACTCTTTGCATTCACTGAGCAGTTTACAGACCAGGTCCTGGAACATCAGTCTGTTTGAACAACAGAAATGCTTCTGTTGGTGGGAGGGGTTGGCTGGGGAAAGGCGAAGGAGGGCTGAGATATTTGTTTCTAGGTCATTTCCAACCTTGCTATTATTGCACAGTTTTCTAGGTGGAAAAGAATAGGCTTATTAAAGAGAAAGTGTTCATTTTAAAATAAAGCAATGGAGACCCGAAAGGGCTCTGTTACATAGATAAATGAGCATACATAAATGGATTCGGTTTTTGTTTTTCATGCTCTGTTATATTCTGTATTAGGGCAAAGGAGGAGGCAACTAAGTAGTTGTTTAAAAATGAAACAGTGTGCTGTTCATTTAACTTTAAAAGCCACTGATTAGAATAATAATCAGTGTTTCCATGTAGTACTCTATTCATGGAAATACTGATATAACAGAGAGTGGAGGTAATACAATGATGCTCTTTATTTTTTCATATAATCTAATTTTAAAATACATTCTAATTCACAAATAATGAAGAAAGCCGGCAACATCATTCAAATGGGATATGTTGGGCAATTAAATTCTTTGTGTAAATTACAAATTCCTGTCTCTCCAACTTCCATCCAAATTTATTTTTATGGAATGACCTTTGGTACCAATTTATTTCATAATAGAATATTTCCTGAGTTTTTTACTTTGAGTGGATAGCCTTTTTTTTTTTTTTTTGGTTAGGTATGGTATTTATAAAAGTTTCTTTGATGAAAAGCCTATGAATTTTGTGCAAATAATTCAGGCAGGCTCTTGGATTAGTGATAACATTTGTAAAGGACTCTTATGGCTTTAAGCTGTCCTTCATCCCTCAGTTGTTTTTTTTTTTTTTTGACCCTTACCTACAAGGTCACTGTGGAATTCACATTTCACTGATGAGAGTCAATGTAAAAGGATGGTGTTGTCATGGTTCTGAGCATACAGCAGGTATCTGATACATTCAGGGTAGGAAATTAACAAAGAGTACCCGTGGGTTATTTAACTTGCCTAAGGTCATGCAGCAGGTATAATGTCACACCAAGAATTGAACTTGCTTCATCTTCAAACATATAATTCACTGGTGTTTAGTATATTCAGAGAATGCTATGACCCATCACCTCTTTCTAGTTCATCATCCAGAGGAGACTCCATATTCTTTGAGCAGTGACCCCCTTCCCTCTTGCCCTCTCCCCAGCTGCTGACAACCATCAGTCTTCTGTCTCTTTGGGTTTGCCTATTCTGGATAATCCACATAAATGGACTCTTACAATATCTCACCTTTTCTGTCTGCCTTCTTTCGCTTAGCATAATGTTTTCAAAATCCGCCCACATTGTGAAGTGTATCAGAACATCATGCCTTTTTATGGTGGGATAATCTTCCATCAGATATACATACATGTTTTGTGTATCCGTTTGTCCACTGATTGATATCTGGGTTGCTTCCACTCTTTGGCTCTTATGAACAGTGCTGCTATGAACCTTCAAGAGCAAGTATTTGAATATTTGTTTTCAGGTTTTGGGACTATATACTTAGAAGTGGAGTTTCTAGATTACATGGTAATTCTCTGTTTAACTTTTTGAGGAACCATTAAACCATTTTTCACTGTGACTGTACCACTTTCTATTCCTACCAGCAACAAATGAGGATTCTCATTTCCCCCATTCCTTGACAAGACTTATGTTTTTGAATTTTTGTTTTTTTATTATTATAACCATGTTAAAATGGAGTAGTATCTCCTTGGGATCTTGATTTGCATTTCCATAATTAAAGATTCACATTTTAATGCATGGAATTAATCAGAAATTTGGCTTTGGTAAGACAGAAATCAACATCAAAATGATTGTCTTCATTTGTCTTCAGGAGCTTAAGATGGCATATATCTGCCCCTAGGTATAGGACTCTGGGCTGAAAATGAAGAATATTTGGGATTAGAACATACCCTAACTTTTAAAGAAATATCTTGTAAATTAATCAGAAAAATAAAAATTATGTTTTGTTTTCATGGCAACTGCCAAAAGATACTTAGTTCTTTTGCATTTCAAAAAATTTATTTAAAAAAATTCTTTCATGGCTTACTGGTGTATCCATTTATTTTCACAGTGTGAGAGAAGACACTCAGGATGGCTCAGGGATCCGGGGATCAAAGAGCAGTGGGGATTGCTGATCCAGAGGAGAGTTCTCCCAACATGATAGTCTACTGCAAAGTAAGACGGACGGCCTCTTCAACACTCTGCAGGCCAGCTCTGTGTGTCTGTTCTCTGTAAGGGTTGACGGGTGATTGACAGCAAGATAAATGGTCTTCTTCCCAAACTGCATTAAATGATAAATAAGTATTTTCTTCTCATATCCTCTGATGATCTAATTCTCAAATTCAAGGAAATTAGGTTTGATCATACTTAAAAACTCAGTATTCAATACTTGAAAAAATATTATTCTATTTAGTTTTGTTTAAGCCTGAAGGTTGTCTAAACAATGCCAGTGGAGATGTATTCTCCTTCAGCATAAAGGCCTTTACAGTGTAATGTATGATACATCCACTGAAAGTTCTTTGTTCTCATAGTATGTACAAGATATGGACTGTATGCCTGCATTAAATGCTTCCAGTTGGCAGGAGACAGAAGACGTATACACATAACCATAATAGAGTCTAAGCATTAATTTTCCAAAACAGAGGTCTTCTGATTAGAGTGTTACATTATCTCAGAATAAGAGGAGAATTCTCCCAGCTTCCCAGGTCAGGATGGGCTTATGGCGAAGTGGTCTTTGGACTTGGGATTAAAAGAGGTATAGGGTTGCTGAATAGGGAAAGCCCAGGGGCGGGGGAAGCACATTGCAGGGGATTTTCTCTGTTCAGCAAAGGCACAGAGTTATGGGAAGTAAACAGCCAGCAGAAATGATTAGTTTGGGCATAGGGATAAAAACAAGGAGTAAACAGAGGTAAAGTTTTGCAGAGAGAGGCTGGACAAAGCCAGATTGTAGAGTTATGAGCAGTTTAATCATAAAACACTTGTGTGCTGAGAGTTGTAAAATCCATATGTCTCTGGGATTGAAAGTCCTGCCCTCTGTGTGCCAAATGGATTGTTGTCAAGACAGGGTGCAGGCTCTGGGAAGGATGTTTCTGTGTCTGTGAAAAGGGCAAGGAAGACACTAATCTAGCGGGGCAATTCCCTTCAGAATCGAGAGGGACTGATCAGAGGGAGTGAAGAGTCTGAATTAAAAATAACTTGAAACTGAATGAATATGGAATTAGGCGGCAAGTAGACAGTCAAAATGACTATGTTTTTGACCTTGGGTGATAGACATTGATGCTGTGAATTTAAATAGGGAATTCAGAAGAAGATGTTTTAAAAGTAGGAAATAAGGCACATGAAGTTATTTTTTGCAAACAATATACTTAAGGAAATCATTCCTTCTACATGTGTGCGAAAATGTATTACATATTAATAAGGGAAATGGGTTAATGTTGATTCACTTCATTAAACATCCGAGTCGCCAGCTGGGTTTGGTTCCTTTGGCAACTCTGTTGAATTTACGTTAATCATATGGACGATGTTGAACTTGATATACCTGGATGATCAACACAGGTAATTTTTCTCTTTTCTTTGTGAAAATTGAACTCTCATGTTATCCTTGCTCTGGGTATAAAATTCTGTACTTTTTTGCTTTGCTTTTTTTTTTGCTTAATTTGAATGCTGAGAGAATCCATCTCTAAGAAGTATGCTTATTAAAGTATAGTAAGGAAAAACTTATTATAGATTAACGGAGCTGAGAAATTAGTGAAACATACAGAATAATAGGAAGACATTTATTTATTGTTTCCTTCTCCTCCCTAAACTAGGAGGCCCTGTGCTAGGCTAGTAGCAGCGTGGGCTTTGGAGTTAGGCCTGGGTTAAAATTCCAACATTATCACTTTCTAGCATTGTGACCTTAAGTAATTTATTTAACTTTTTTGATCCTATAAAAGGGAAAAAGGGGGATGAAGGTTATTGGGAGGTTATTCACTCTATAGATGTGGGAATGGGTTACCTTAATGCTACTTGGACATAATGTGGTATGTAATGAATATTTCTTTTTATCTGTGAGTCTTATAGAGACAGTGATCCTTGGAGAGAAGATAAATTATAGAATGTATAAGTATCGATATTGTTAATAGTTGACTGAAGTAAATTTATATATAGTAAGTTGCCTTTTTAAGACACAAGCAAACAATACAAATATTTTATATTATTTAGGGAATCACAAATCTGTGTATTATTAAAGGTTAATAGGAAATATAAAGGTCATATGATCCAAACTCCTTTCTGCTAGAGTGTTTGGTATTATGTTGAAAGGAAAGATATTCTTATAGTTTCATGAGAACTTGAGTTCTACTCTTAGGGTGTTACTAGTTTTTTGCTTTTTAAATTGAGAAACAAACTTATCAATCATTGTGGCTCTTTAGAGATATGGCCACTAGGGATGGGAATGTATCTTGCTTCCTTGTGACACACTTTTTGCAGGGGTATGTATGTGTTTGTGTTCCTTGCTAGATTAATTCCTCTCTAAAAGCAATTCACTGAATCTGTTCCATTTATCTGAAAGAAAAGTTGTACAGTGTCCAGGCCCCTGAACCATTTCTAACCTGGTGAATCTGTCTCACTGGACTTACAGAGGTATACCTGAAATATGGGAGAGAGTCACATGGTTTTCTACTTCTAGTGCTTCCAGGCCTTTGGCTGTAACCCAAAGCTTACACCCACAGAAGGAAGTTAACCTTGAGGTGTCATTCAGGTTCAATCTCGAAAGCAAGATCAGTTCAAAGCATTTTCTATGGAAACGATAGTTTGTCCCTGTGATCTCTTTTTTTCAAATTTGAGGCCCATAAAACCAAACCCTTTCTTAGGTAACTGCAACTAAAATTTACCTTTTTGAAAATTTCACTTTCATTCTTGTTTTCTTTCTCTTGCTTGTTGCTTCCTTCTCTTGTCTCAGACGTTTTCAGTGTGAAAGTTTTGCTTGGGCTGAGTTGTTTTGATTCAGAAAAAAAGCCAAATTAGAGAAGTAGAGCATCTGAATAATAAGTGGGAGGATCATGTTCATGATGTTTGATTTTTATTATTTTTAATTGACATAATAATTGCACAAATGTGTGGGATACAATGTGATGTTTTGCTATATGTATAGTTTATGAAATGCTCAAATCACAGTAATTAGCATATCCTTTATCTCAAACATTTATCATTCCTTTGTGGTAAAACATTTAAAAACCTCTCTTCCAGCTCTTTTGACATACATAAGATGTTCTTGTCAACCAGGTTGTTGTCACTTTCAAACACCATTTAGGATGGCAACCTTCTGACACATGAGTAATGATGGGTGGGATCTGTAGGCCCACAATCTTGAGAACATTCTTCATTTTCTTTTCATGTTTTCATGTCATTAACTGAGAAGTTGTACTTTTCCCAAGGCATGATTTATTTATTGACTTGAGCAGATTTTCTCATTTAGTTTTTCATCCTTCATATTCACATTTTGGATTGGAGGTGTGTATAAAAAATGTATTGGTCACATTCAAGATCTATTTAAAAGAAACTTTAATTATTCATTAAGACACCCAGACCCGTCAGCCTTTTTCATATTCCCAGATCCTAAGTATCCTGGGTCATTGAATTGCCCAGTGTGGTGACAATATCTGAAATGATCATTTAGGGGTCTTTTAGAGAAGCACTAATCCTCAAAAGACCCCCTCCTCAAGATATTTTTATTTAATAGGTCTGGGCTGGGTCATAGAAATTGAACTTTAAAGAAATCCTAGGAGAATCTGGTGCCGAACTAAGTTTGAAAGGCACTTACTTAGTTTTTGTTAGTCTCTAGGTACCATAGGTGTTGCCAAGTCATGGTGAAATAGGTGTTTTTAACTGGATATTTTATTTCATAATGATTCATAGACCTCTTAGGGTATGGAAGAACAGAGCTCTTGTCATAGTGCTAGAAGCAAAAGATTTTTTGGTAGTTTTTTCTTATAGATTTTCTAGTTAACACCCTTGTTTTACATGTGAAAAAACTGAAAGTATGGAGAGGCCGAAATAACTTGCTTAAGGCTCCCCAGCAATTGCCTAGCGAGGCTCTGACGGTCCAAGGAGCCTGATCGTACAGGTCAGAGTTCTTGGTAGCATCTGATGAAGTCACTTTCTTATCAGCCACAAAGTGCCATGACCACATTGTTGGAGCTCAGCAGCCATTGGCTGAGTCAAATAAATGAAAATATGTGCGGCAGATCTTTGGCTTTGATGCTTACCCTCAGGGATGTGACCTAGGTTCACTTCTCTTATTTGTCATGCTAACATTGTATTCCACGTACTGGATGTCTTGTTTCTTGGGTAAAGATTTTCTGAACTGTTTACTCCCTTTTATGACTAGGAATTTTTTTCTTTTTGAATAAGAGTAGATTGCTTTCTGATTTTGTTTGATTTTTTTTCCTCTGAGTATTGTTAACAATGTCTCTAAACAAATTTCCAAACTAGACTGGTAATTTGATTTAGTAGAACTCGGGGCTCTTAGATGGTGAATGGAAGAGAACATTTTAGCTTACCTTGACCTGGTTCCGGGTCAGGAGGCAGTACTCTGTGATGGAAAATGCTGAACAGGGAGCTAGGGGCTCTGGGTGGTAGATCCCAGCATTAGTTCCTACTGCTTTGGCTCTCTGAGGGTGAACTTGAACTTCCTATCTCTGTTTCTTGTTTTGTCTTTCTCTCTTGTGTATTCTTTTCCTCCTTCCTTACCGATTATGAAATACTTTCACAAAAAGAATACATTCAGTGTCCATGTACGGTAGAAAGAAGAATAAAATATGAACTTCACGAACCAACCCTGACCTAATAAATAAAATATTATTTCAGCTTCACGTTATCTTTTGTAATGTGAGGGAATTCATCTAAATAATGTGCAAATACCTTTCTGCAATGCTTTCAAAGTTGCGTTCTGTAAACTTTTAGTCTTCTCAGAAATTAATGGCTGATATCAAAACAATGCTGTGAGATGACATACATTCTAAAGATCTTTTGAACATTTTTTGGAAATATTTTAGACAATCTATCTAAGATAACCTAAATTGCACTAAGGCTCAACCAAATTTAGTCAGGCATTAGAAGAAAAAAAAAACAATTTAATTGTGATGATTTAACATTCAACAGTGAAAGTTAACCAAGCTGTCTCCTTGGTGGCA